CTCTCCCCTCGCCGGAGCGCTGAGCAGAGTTCCTGAAGAGAGGAGGCTGTTCTCTCGCTCCCTCTGAAGTCATTTTTTTGCTATAAGCAGGAGCATTATTTGCTTTGGTATTTTAATTTAAAGCCCAAATTAAAACTAAGCGCTTAGATAAAACCACTGTGTGGCTCCAGCCCAATCCCTGTCTGTGTGCTGCTGTATGAACGGGTTTAGGGGGAGATCCCCCCAGGAGTAGGAGGGCGGAGGCGAGCCTGGGGGAGGAGAGCACAGAGCAGGAAGAGCCCGGAGCACAGACCTAGTTTGTGGCGGAGCTGAAGCAGAAACCCGAACGAAGTGGTGCAGCGTTTTCATTAGCCGATCAGCCGGAGCAATAGAAGCCGGCCGGGAAGATAAAATCAGACATATGTTTTGACAGAAACACTCCCAGTTTCCACAAAATAAATAAATAACCCGACTAAATTAAATGTACAGCACCTCAGCGAGATGCTCCCGCCGCTTCTGCGGGCGCTGTCTGAGTCTGACTTGGAGCGTTTGGCTCTGCAAGGTGCAGAGGCCGTGAGGGTGGGGGGCTCCCCCAGTGGTTTGGGGTCTCTACAGCCGGCGGCAGGGAAGTTAATGACCTTGCTGCCTTTGCCACAGGATCGCGGGGTACTGGCAGCCCCAAGGCACGCAGCCCGCACTGCTCGCTTCCAGGACAGTCTTCTCCCGCTTGGCCCAGACTCCTGCCACAGAGCCAAAAACAACAGTCATGCTCCCCAGACACATGAGCCTGAAATGCTGGGGTGGAGGGGACGCTCAGCAATTCGTTCTTTAATTCAAGGGAACGAGGGGGGCGCCAGTCTGTGCTGAGCCCAGTGGGGCCGTGATTCCCCGCCCTCGCCCCTGGGGTACAGCAGGCGGGTTTTCCTGCGGACAGAGCCTTGCCCCCAGCAGGCGTCCGGTGAGAAGTCTCGTTGGGGTATCAGTGCCCCGTGCCCCGAGGAGACACCCACAGATTGCCTGGCTGTGCTTCCGCCAAGCGGCGAAGGGGTGGGGCCGTTTGCCAGGAGATTGGAAATGACCCGTCCCCTCCTCCAGAGCACCCTGGCTCCAGGGTGATTTGGGGTTTAGCTCATGGCTCCTCCTGGATGTGGTGTCTTGGCAAAAGTTGTGTGTAGGTCAGGGAGGCAGGAACCCAGTAGGTACAGCCAGCCACTGCCCTGTTTCTGGGGGGTGCGATGCCCAAGCCCCTGGCGGGGTGTGTGTGACAAAGTGGGACTGTTCTTAATGTGTATTTGAATGCTGAGTGGGGAGTGTTGGCCGGGGAAAGTTGCAGGGGAGGTTGGCTGGGACGGTCTGCATTGGGGATGGGAGACCGGCCTTGCGGGATGATACCTGAGCACGTAACATGAGAACCCAGGAGGGGGGTTGGAGCCAGGTGACACCTCTGCCTGGAAACTGGACAAAGGCTGGGAGAGGAGCCGGGGGAGACGCTGGAGGGAGTTAGAGGGTCAGGAGCTGGCTGGTGTAATGGAGGGGAGCCCAGACGGGGCTCTGACCCCCCAACGGGGCTGTGGTGTCCCTGGGACCCTAAGATGGACCTAACTGAGGGGGTCCTGTTGTCTGTACCCTCAAGGTCTGTCTTGGACTGTGTTCCTGTCGTCTAAATAACCCTTCTGCTTTACTGGCCGGCTGAGCGTCCCGGGGAATCGCAGGAAGCCGGGGGTGCAGGGCCCTGTGTCCCCCCACACTCCGTGACAGTGTGGTGGACGGGCAAGTCCTTTGTTCTTTGGCTGCCATTGTCTGGCTGGGCTCCCCTCCCTGCGGTGTCCCAGGGCGCGTGGGGACAGGTTTAACTTTCTCTGGACTTGAATCAGCACCAGTGATTCTCCCGCCCCCCAAGCATGGGGAAGTTCTCTGTTGATGATGGCGGCTGCGTGGTGATGTGAGGATGCTCAGCGATCCATTCCTTGCAGCTGCCGGCCTGGCCCGGGGCCCTTCGGGGAGTTTGGGCAGGCGGCTGGCTTGCTGGGGCGGATCAGGGCAGGGACCGGCCCGGAGGTGAAGTCTGGTTTTGGTTGGCCTGTTCTGTCTCGTTCCCGCACCAGCCCAGCCCCACGCACAGCAGCCTGCAGCACGCGCCCTCCCCCGGAACAAGCTAGCGAGTGATTCATTCATGGATTTAGCCCCTTTCTCGTTTAATGACGAATTAATATTTTACAGCAGGGGAACCTATAAATCACAGTGTTAACTGCCTCGTCTGTGCCTGCCTGGGGAACTGGCCCCTGTCCTGCCCCCACGCCCAGGGTGCCCCGCAGAACGGCCAGTGGACACAGGCCTTTGCAGCCCCCGTGTGCGGGTCACGCCTGGCTGGCAGGAGTCCCTGGGAAAAGAACTGTGCGTTCAGACGGCAGCTCCGTCTGGCCTGTGCACAATGAGGAGCTGGCATCGGTTGGCACAAAGAAAGTGACCGGGGTGGGGGGAGCTTGCTCCTTACATCTCATCCTCAGAGTCTGGGGGGCGTTGGCCCGTCGTGGTTAGGACGGATTGGGTGACCCATTATGGTGACTAAAGACAGTCGCTTTAAAAGCCCCTGTCGTGCTGCAAGGGCAGATGGGGAAATTCCATTCAGCAGCCGTCTCCCAGAGACCATCTCCTGGCATGGGGACAAGATGAAATCCTACGTGGCCGGAGGCTCCAGCATCCCAGACCCAGCTCGGGCCTCTGGGGCAGCAGAGCCGGACTCTTGTGTTGCTGAGCTCGCTTGGAGCGTGGGGACGGGCAGCTGAGAAATGGGCTAATGCAGAATCCCCCAACATTGGCCAGGACCAATTACAGCTCCTCGCGACAGGGCTATCCCCTCCTCTCCCCCCCCGACACACACACACACACACGGCTAATGGGCTTTGTCCCTCTGCACTTCCTCCCAGCCCCCCACGTCCCCCGCCCAGCTGCTTTTCAAATGGCCCGTGCTCCCTGCGAGAATTTCCTTTCAGTGCAATTTCTCTGCTGGCCGAGTCTATTGAGGTGCAGCACTCAAGCTGACTAATGGACCCGCGCAATGGCTGCCTGCTCTGGCTTTTGCTGGGGGGGTCGCCCTGCAATCAGCCGGGTGGCCTCCCCCGCCCCGCACATTCCTTGCGTAACTTCTAATCAGTCCGGCGCTGACCGCCAGGCGCTTTCCCTGCAGGGGGGTCGGCCTGGTTCAGAGGCTCCGGTTCAGGGAGCAGGACCCGAGCGAGGGAGGCCGCCGGCTGGCCCTGCGCCGGCTTGGCCTTTTTCTTGGTTTTAATAAAATCCTGCCAGGCCTTGTACAATCTAATTCCTACATGCAAACTAGCCCAGGCCAGGTGCTTTCAGCATCTGCAGCTTAACGTGTGAGGCTGGGGAGAGACCACCGGCTGTCTTGTCTGTCCATCCATCCAGACACCTGCGCCCACCCACTTGCTCCATGACTTCCCCCTCTATGACCCCGATATGCTAATGCACGCCTTGCTAAGCCACCAGGCTCCCAGTCAGGAAGCCAGCCCTCTGGGCACCATGAACTTGTTTAGGATGTGAATGTAAATAGCACTCAGACAGGCAGGTGATCTAATACCCTGCTCTGGAGAGAACTGCTGGGAATCCTGAGCAAGCGTTAATTGTGAAGGGGCGGGGGGAAGGGGAGCTGGGTTATTGCTTGGTGGGGGGGCGGCTTGATGAGGTTGCAGTTATTTCTCCCCGTGCTCCGGCAGCTAAGTAGGGCTGGGTGCTCTCCCCCGTGCACCCACTCACAGCAGGGCCCTGCACCATCCGAGAAGATCTCGGACTCGGCTGCGGTTGCTAGCACTCACAATGGTTTTATTTCATTGGAGGAGAGGCTCCGGCCAGCTTGAAAAATGTTCAATGCTTTTTTTTAAATGAACCTCTTCGGTTTTTCTCCCCTATCCCCCCACTTAATTATTTTATTTTATTTTATTTTGGCTTTTCTGACCAGTTCCAGGTCAAAACCCTTTGGATTTGATTCTGTGTGATTTCCTCCTCGGGTCAGCTGGTCAATTTAATCCGTTAGGGACATTTCATTAAAAATGTGAACAATGTTTATTAAAATACAAAAATACACTTGTTTCTCAGAGTACAGTCAGATTGTTCTGGAGTTGCTCTTTCTGTTCTCACCCTTTAGATTTGAATCCTTTCACTTTTATTTTTTTAAAGCTCAGATAAGAAAGGAAAGTAGTTACGTTGGAAATGCGCACGACCTCCCCCAACGCTTCCCTGCTCCCCAAACACCTTTCCCGAGTTACTTTGGGTGAATGTGACAGGGAAGAGAGCCTTTTTCCCCCTTCTAGGGTTCACCAGATGCTCGCGTGAGCAAGAGACTTTCTGTCAATCTGACGATTCCCCCATGCGTAATCTGGTTGCATTTCTATAAACAAGTGAGAGTATTTCTGCCTTGCAGCAGCTCTGGTTTGATTTGCTCCCACCCCCACCAGTTGACCGATATCTAAAGAGCCCTCGATTGATTGGGGAACCCCAGCAATTGGGGAGGGGGGAAAAGCTTCAGCTCTTGCCACCTTAAAAAAGATGAAAAAAAAAATCATAAAATTGGAGCATGGTCTACAATCATCTGTCAGCTCTCCTGCACCATAGCCACACACACACACACACACACGGCTGCTAGGATGTCCTCTAGCCAACCTGACCTAACCTTCCCTCGCTCCCTTCCCTCCTGGGAAAGTCACAGGCGCACACACATGCTCCCTGTGCGCAGCGGGTTAAACTGAACTGCAGGAATCTGGTGCAGTGTGGAAGCATTTGACTGAGAGCAACGCCAATTTCTCTCTCTTTCACTGCTCTTTCTTTAGAAGCGCCGTTGGGATACGTGAGACCCACGGAGCCGGTACACGCGGGCACACGCACAGCCCTACTGAGATACATGGCAAATGTTGGCATTTTTTTGTTTAATACATATATATATTTAGCCCCACGGTCTCTCCAGCTCCTCCCCCCTCCCCCCCCACCCACACAAAAACCCCATTATTGCATTTGTAACGTTTTGGCACAGTACAAATTCTTGGTGCGCTTTTTTCCTTATTTTTTTAAATAAGATAAATCTGTAAATATCGAGGTTGGGCTTTCAGAAAAGATCTTTGTAGAAACAGGTTTGTGTTACCGCATTCTGTGATACTTCCTTCCCCCGCTCCCCGCCTGTCCCTTCGCTAGTTGTGTTCTCAGCCTCGCTCCAGAAAGTCGTTCTGGCATTGGTTTGGTTTTAGATTTAGATTTTGCCCCCCCACCCTTTTTCTTTAAATAGAACTTACAAGTTAGAAAATAGGGTTTTTAATTTTAATATAATCTGCTTCTCTTATCAGCCCATAGATTTAATATATAAGCATATACAAGAAAAAAGTCTCTCCCCCACTCTGTACAAAAGTTGCTGTCTTGTTTTGTTTTGTGCATTCTATTGCATTTATAATTTCTGAAAAAAGTCATATTTGAGTTTCCTGTACTTTGTCCTTGGTGTGGGTCTGAATTATATAAGGTTCAGAGATAGTGGTTACTGTGGGGTGTAGCGAATTCCCCAGGCTGTTTTCTGTCCAGTGGGCCCCGTGTGCCGGTTTGTAGGTGTTGTAGTTAATATGGTCATGAATTGTTGGCAGCACAACTGCCCCCTCACCTGATACACTGGTCGGAGCCGCTGGAGCCGCCGGCATGTCCTCGTCCACCTGAATGATCTCCACGGTCCGGGCGGCCGTCACCGTGCTGCGTTGCTGGTGCCGCTTGCGAAGTTTGTAAAAGACAATCAGCATGGCCGCCGCCAGCAACGTCACCGCCACGAAGCAGCCGATGATGATCTTAGTGGTCTTCATCACCTCGTCCAGGCTGGTCTGCATTTTGTCGTTAGTGTCCGCGGTGGGCACCGCCACCTGCTTGGGCGTTTTGGTGGTCTGGATCAGCACCGTGGTGGTGGTGGTGTACGCCGGCTGGTACCCTGTCGAAGTCGTTGGCACTGGCTTAGTGAATTTTGGGGAGATGTCTTCGGGGGAGATCTCTGTAGTTTCCACCGTGACGGTGGTGAAGAAGCTGTAGTTGGAAGTGTTGAGCTCGGCCGTGCTCACGTTGAGGTAGGCCGAGGCATTGGAGTTCCCTGCCACATTGGTGACCATGCACGTATAAACCCCGGTGTCCGTTAGCAAAACATGGGAGAAGTTCAAGGTCCCATCATTGAGAACGGATATCCGTGGGTGGTTGGACGCGTGGCTCAGAATGGTCCCGTTAGGCAGCAACCACCTCACAGAGGACATGGAGGGAGTTCGGCACTTGAGCTCCGCCACTCGTCCTTCAGAAATGTTTAGATCCATGGGGGCGTCCATGATAAAGGGTGCGGAGCACTGGAAGGAGGTCTGGTCCACCTCCACCAGGAACTTGCCCCTCATGTGCATCGGGGCATGGCAGCGCCCGCAGCAGGTGGAGTTGGTGGGGATGTACTCCCGCAGCCACCAGGAGAGCCACAGGATGTCGCAGTCACAGCTCCAGGGGTTGTGGTGCAAGTGCAACTCCACCAGGTATCTCAGGGGGGCAAAAAGGTCGTGCGGCAACGAGGTCAGGTTATTGTGGGCCAGGTTGAGCTCCACCAGCGAGGTGAGGTCGTCGAACGCGTTCCGCTCAATCAGGCTGATCTGGGAGTTCATAATCCACAACTTCTTGAGAGACTTTAACCCATGGAAAGATCCTGGCTTGATATCAGGGAAGTTATTCCCCGACATCTCCAGTTCCTCCAGCCCCACCAGGGGCGTGAGGTTCGGCATGTCTTTAATGTTACACATCCCAAGATTAAGGTACTTCAGGTTGTATAATCCCTCGAAAGCCCCCTCAGAAATGTACTCCAGCTTCTTGAGCTCGCCCAGGTCCAAGCGCATGAGGGATGGGACCCGGTTGAAGGCGTACGAAGGGATGCTCTCGATGGGGTTGTTCCTGAGCCACAGCTCCCGCAGCTTGGACAAGTACTCGAAGGCCCCGCTCGGGATGACGGTCAGCCAGTTGTCAAACAATTCCAGGGTGTTGAGACTGGCCAGCCCGTTGAAAGCACCCACCTCGATCTGGCGGATGGAGTTCCTGCCCAGCTGCAAGACCTCCAAGTGGTGCAGGTGCCGGAAGGTGTCCGCTTGGATCAGCTGGATGTTGTTCTCCATGAGGTTGAGATAGCGGGTGTTGGAAGGGATGCCCTGAGGGACCTCGGCCAGGCCGCGGCGCGTGCACACCACCTTGCTGAACTGGTTACTGCAGGAACAGACGGAGGGGCAGTTCGGGGCTCCAGCCCAGGCAGCTGCTGCAGACAGAATCCACACCTGCGCCGTGAGGTAGACGACCGAGAGCAGGGCAGCGTTCCAGGTGTGGTGCACAGTTACCTGCCACAAGAGCTTCATGATGTGGCACGTTCATAATTCACCATCGTCCGGGATTTGGCACAGAAAGGAGAAGGGGCCCTATTCCCCCGGCTTAAACCAGCTGTTCATTCCTCTCGCCAGCTAACAAAGGGGCGGGGGGAGGGAGCTGGGAGGGGGGAGATCAGGGGAAAATGGGGTAAAAAAAAAAAAGAAACAAAGCAAAGCAAAAGCCCCCCCCAGCCGAGCTCCCTGCTCTGTAATTGGCACCTGCCTGGGGAGGAAGGGGTCTGTGAGCTGCTCTTTAAGCTCTCACCGCAGGACGCCGCTCCAGCCTCCCCATCCCCTCTCCGGTTCAGTTTTGAATTAACAAAGGGGAAGAAGGGGGAGGGGGGAAGGGGAAAGGGGGGTGAAAGACAAAATGGCTCCTAGTAAATCCAAAGCAGGAGCCGGGAAAGCAGCGTGGAAGGAGCCCGGCTGGAGGTGAGGCCCGTTCGGCTAGGCAGGTGCATAGTTGCCTTCTGCCCCAGGGAGCAACGCTGCCAGCGCTTTGCAAATGTGTCCTTGGCTCCGAGCGCCGGCTGCTGCTCGCAGCTGCTGGGGCCGCTGCTCCATCGCTGGAGCATGCACCCTGCCCCCCCACCCCCGCCGGGAACAGCCAGACAAGGAACCAAAGAGAATCGCTCTCTCCGCTCGCTGCCCCTTTGCCAGCCTCTTCCTCCGCTCCGTGCTCGCTCCCCTCCCCACGGGGGGCTCTGCTGGGGCTCGCCGGAGGCTAGCGGTCACTCTGCACTTCCTCTGTGTGCGGGGCTGCGGTGCCTTGCCCGGCTGCAGCCTCCTCGCGCTTCGCGGCGACCCGGCGGCTTCTCCGGGGAAGGGGGCGCGCAGCCGTGGGGGGGGGGGGGGGGCGCTCTGAAGTGCCGCTGTCCTGCTGAGGGGAGCGCGCCAGCGTTAGCGCCGAGCCCAGGCTTCAGCACAGGATGGGCAGGGCAGCCGGCTCCCCTCCCGCGGCCCCGGCCGGCTCCCCCGCGGCTCTGAGGTAGTGAGTTGTGGCGCCAGCCTTCCGGTGCCGTTAACGTCTTTGTTGCCCGTCGACTGCGGCGGCGGGAGGAGGCGGAGGCGGCGCAGCAGCGGCACAAGCGGCGGCAGCGGCAGTAGCGGCGGCGTGAGACGCACCGGACCCCGGTAACATCTTCCCTTCCTACCCGTGCCGGCGGCAGCCCTCTCCCCCGGCGCCCGGGCTCCCCGCGGCGGTGCTGGTGCAGGCGGCAGCCGCGCAGGCTGCTCTCTCATCCTTTTGTCCTTCAGTGGGAACGTGAATGTACTGCTGACGCATCGTGTGCTGGGCAGAGCGGGAGCGTGATGCAGGGCTCACAGCCTCCCCCTCCTCTGCTTCCCTCCAGGGGTTAACGGCCAGGCTGCCTTCGCTCGCTCCCTGCAAGGAGGGCCAGGGAGCCGCGCCGGGAGGAGCCGCTTCCGGCCGTGCTGCTCCAGGAGGAGGCAGGGTGGCCACGGACGGGGTGCGGGCGGCCCCCGCTTCCCCGCCCCGCTCCCCCGGCTCTCGGGGTAAAGGCCCAGCGATGCTCTGCTGAGCGCGGAGCTGGCTGCTGTCCGGGGGCCCGCCGGGGCCTGCGCAGGGACAGAGGCAGGCAGCGCTGAGCAGCTCAGACCGTTCCTCTGCCTCCCCCACGTGCTCCGTCCCCGCCCCCGGGTTTCCCAGGTGCACTCGTTTCACCGAGGAGGGGAGTGCGGCTGGGCGGGCTGGGGAGAACGGCCGTGTCCCGGGGCTCGGGATGTCTGAATTGAGTTGACCCATAGCCCTTAACGGTACTGAGGGGTGTCTGGAGCTGCGCCATCCCGTGACCCCGGGGGGAGGAGGGGTGTCGGGCATCGTCCTGTCCTTTGACCCGGGTGTGTGTGTGACTGGAGTTGCCCCGTCCCGTGACCCTAGGGGGCAGTTGTGGGGTCGCCCCATCCCTTGTTTCTGGGGTGTGTGTGTCTGGAATCGCCCCGTCCCTTGACCCCAGGATGGGTGGGGGGTGTCTGAAGTCACCCCTGTCCCGTGACTCCAAAGGGTAGAGGGGGTCTGGAGTTGTGCCATCCCTTGAACTTGGGAGGAGTGGGGTGTCTGGATCGAGGGGGGGAGAGTGGGGTCATCCCATCCCATGACCGGGGGGGGGGGCTGGTGTTGCCGCATTCCGTGACCCCGTGGTGGGAAATTTGATGGGGGGTCGCCCTGTCTCATGACCCGTGTGTGTCTGGAGTCGCCCCGTCCTGTGACCCGGGGGGCGGGGTAGTGAAGGGGTCGCCCTGTCCGGTGACCGGGTGTGTGTGTGTGTGTCTAGATTCACCCGGTCCCGGGGGTGGGATCTGGAGTCACCCCCATCCCGTGACCCTGAGGGGTGGGGGGGTCTGGAGCTGCATCATCCCTTGAACTTGGGGGGAGGGAGGTGTCTGGAGTTGCCCCATCCTATGATTGGGGGGAGAGTGGGGTCACCCTGTCCCATGACCCCGGGATGGGTTGGGAGGGGGTGTCTGGAGTCGCCCTGTCCCGGGACTGGGTGTGGGTGTGTGTCTGGAGTCGCCCTGTCCCGGGGGTGGGATCTGGAGTCACTCCGTCCCTTGACCCCAGATGGGTGGGGGGTGTCTGGATTCACCCTGTCCCGTGACTGGGGGTGTGTGTCTAGAGTTGCCCTGTCCCATGACTCGGAGGAGGGGTGTGTGTCTGGATTCACCCTGTCCCGGGGTGGGGGATCTGGAGTCGCCATCATCCCGTGACCCCAGGATGGGCGGGGGGTGTCTGGAGTCGCCCCCATCCCATGATCCAGGAAGGGCTGGGAGCTCTGAAGTTGACCTGTACTGGGGGGGCGGGGGCAGCTCACTTGTAGCCTCGTGTGCCCTGTAGCACGAGGGGCAGGGGCAGGGGAGAGAGCAGTGGCGGGGGGGGGGAGGGGCTTTGATCCTGCTTGCGGCCCCTTGCTGGCTCCCCATGCCCCAGGACAGGTGTGTGCAGCCTGGCTCCCTTCTTGTGGGGGCGGCAGGCTGGGGTGTTTGTGATGCCCCTTCGTGCCCCTCGTAGCTGAATCCTGCCAGGGCCGGGGCTGGCCGGCCAGCACTTCCCCATCTGCCAGGGGCTGCCGGGGAGGCCAGGCGCGCTGCCTTGCCAGCTGGGGGCTCTCAGCTGATGTTCCACGTGGCTGCTCGGTACCTCGTCGCTAGGCCAGGATCCCAAAGGGCTGCAGGTCCCTTGCGCCCGCAGCTGGCTCCGCCAGGCCGTGCCCCCCCCACACACACCCCGGTCACGCCGGAACAAGCCTGGCTTTCCGCTGCCCACAAGGGGAGGCTGGGAAAGCGGCGGGGATGGCTTGGCAAGGCAGTGGGCACGGGATGCCACCCTGCTGCGTGGCTGGCGGGCATGCCTGGCTTCTCCAACCCAGTCTGGTGAGCGGGGAAAGGGAGCGAGTTGTCCCCCGAGCAGCTTCGGGTTCATTCCTTCCCCCGCAGGGCAGACGTGGCGTGACGGGCGGGAGGGGTGGTCTCGGGGTTAGAGCGGCGCCCTGGGTTTGTACAGTGCCTGCTCCTGCCTGGGGCCTGGTACTGCCTGACAGCGACGGGGCTTTGCAGCTGTTTGAGTGAGACGTTCTCGTGGCCCTGTGCTGGGAACGGCGCCGCGAGGGCGTTCCCTCGGAGCACGGACGCAGGGTCTGCTGTTCCTACCGAAAGCCACCCAAACTTGGCAAGTTTGCGGGTGCTCAACAGACATGTTAGTTCGGCAGCTCAATGCGCCGACGATTCCGTCTGCCCCAAGCCGACATCAAGCCCTCATGCTGCCCGGCCTCCCCCCGCGCCATCCCTGGAGAGACTGGCCGTGCTCCATTGTGGGGCTACAGGCACCGAGGCGGCACTGGACTGAGAGCAGGGGCCTGGCTGTCCTGTGCGCTGTGCCCCCACCCACTGAGGCGCAGGGAGGGTGGAGAGGAAGAAGGGAGCAGAGAGGGGGGTGGCAGGAGCCGGAGTGAGCTGCGTGGGTAGGAGCAGAGTGGCCCAGAGCCAGGCGAGGGGCACGGGGCAGAAGGGGCAGTGCCCGTGAGAGCACGTTCCCCTGCCAGCTCCTCATTCTCAGCTGTCCGTTGTCGCGGCGAAACCCGCTGGCCAAGCCTCTCGCCCGTCCCCGCATGCGGACAGGATAACAGTCTGCTACTGCTGCCAGTTTCTCCATTCGCTCACGGGGTCGAGCTCCGTCGTGTGGGTCAGAAGATCCCAGCCTACTGATGACCCAGGCTGGGGGTCAGTGTGGCTCCATAAGGTGGAAGGTCCGTTTTTTCAGGGGGGTTATTTTGGAAATTACATCCAAAAAACCCAGGAAAAGGACGTTAAGGGAGCAAAGTGGAGCCCTCTGCAGTCAGGAAGGCCACAATTGAGGTTATTTGTGCAACCTGAACTCTGCGCCCTCGGGCGTGATGACATGATCTCACAGGTTTTTCCACACCGCCCTGGAGGTGACTGAGGTGGGGCAGTGAAGGAGGCTGGATCTGCAGGCTGGGGGGCTCAGGAGAGACGCTGGGGGCAGACCTGGAGAAGTGCAGTTGAACAGACAGCGCTATACACATGCTAGGTACGCTGGAACACCAGCCCCTAGGTGTCTCGAGTTGGGTGCCAAAAATTAACAGACTTTTTTGACAATTTTGGCCTTAATCTCTCCAAATCTCAGCCCCCAGCTGTAAACGGGGACGATAATCCCACCTAATCTCACCGGGGAATTGTGGTGACAAATCCACTAACGTGTGTGAAGTGCTTGGATACTGGGGTGAGAGCACCACGGAAACGCCCCGGAGGAAAGCACTCGGTGCGGCGGGGCCTGGGGCAGGTGAAATCAGGCCTGGGTCGCTCGCTGATGGAGGCGGGAGGCCTGTGGAAGGACAGCGCCAAGCCCATCTCATGCTGCAGAGAAGGGCGCAGCGCTCCGGCATTTCCTGACTTCTGAGTGCTCCACTTGGCCACCTTCTCGCTCCTTTAGGGTAGGTTTTGGTGTGTAATGGATAGCCTGCCGGTGAGGGTGGGGGAGCCATATTGACAAGCGGGGTGTCCTGGCACCTCTCCAAGTGCTCCCACAGA